AATGGTTTTCCCTTCTTTGCATGTTTTTCAGCCCTAAATGAGCAATTCAGGCGCTTCCAAGTCTTGCAGAATATTAGCAATACCTTTCAAAATACTTTTAACTTTCAGTCAAGAATGAAAGGTTAGAGGTTAAACGCTTGCATAGTTCTAAGCTTTGATCATGAGATACAGGTAGAGGACAGTACATTACCCTATCTTCCAATTAGTTACTATATTTTCCAAGGGTGAACTGACAACTTCCTGCTATAATATTAACTGAAAAATAACCAATCCATAATCTTTCTTCAAGCAAGGAACATAAGTATGCGCAAAGAACATAGTACAGGATATAGTGCAAGAGGTATATCTGCATAAACTGCCTTCATAGTATTGTTAACCTCTTTGCATTCCTTAACGCAGGAACCGTTAAATACAGTATTATCTTTAAACTCTTTGGACAGCTTAGGACTTCAATCACATTGTATATATACAGGGCTTAACGTCTTGCTTTAAGTCAAGAGCTGACCAGAAAAAAGGCAGTATGAGTACATATAATTATTACTTGACAAGTAGCATTATGTGTTGTATCTAGTAAAGGAAGAGGGAAGACAAACTTTTTGACGCAGGCATTGTAGGTAAGAGCTTTTGGCTGACAATTATATAGTATGTCTAGAAATAATTAACTCCTTTAAGAAGCAAATATATGCATTTTTCTGATATGTCAAACCTATTAAGGAGTTTGTGGACCAGAAATAATTCCATCAGAATTAGTCAGATTGTTTTATTTGCAGCTGTATGTTCTCATTAGTGGATTAGTGTTTTCTCCTCCTGGACATAATTTGCACTTTATTCTTAAAAGGAAGTCTCTTGCTCATTTGTTTTTCCAGCTGCTTGGTTTTTCTTAGTTGTCCTCCTGAGCCTCCCTATCTTACGCAACTTCAGTGCCTAGTTTAAATCTTTTCTTGCTGTGTTGTTCCCTTGTGACTTGTCAATTATCCCTCAGTCCCACTTAAGTCATGCAATAGGAACAGTTTTCTGTGAAACTTAGTACAGAGGCTTTTGCATCCAGCAAGGTCACTCTAAAAGACCAAGATAAATTTCTACTATCATTATTTTTTCCTTTTACATTTGACAGAGCTTTGTAGAGCAGTTGAATATGAAGACAAAATAACTTACAAAGGGTGTTCGGCAAACGTCACTTTGGTCCGATGTGAAGGATCATGTCCGTCTTCAGCAAAGTAAGGATATTTGAGAACTTCCATAGCACAGATTACTACAATTGTTTCATTTTATTATTTGGCAATCTTCAAGCACTGGTATTTGTTAACTACCACTCCTTTATAATTCAAGCAGAAAAATGTGTTTGGTATCTATCCAGCAATGTACTTTTGCAATACAAGCCAGCTAACTAGAAAGAGCCTGTGAGCCTGACAAAGCTGCAGGTTTTTAGAAGATGGAAAAGGTCAATTAGGCTACTAAATATCCATTTTCAAGTAGCCAAGAGACTAAACTAAAACATTTCTCTCACTTAAACACATAGTGTAATTTCAGTTGCCTCACAGTGTTTTCCTGATAGCGTAACTCAGACGTTTTACTATTAGAAGTGTGATGTATCTCAGTCTGTGCAGTTTTGCTTGCTCATTAGGAGACTATTTCAGACAGGAAATCATGGCTTCAATAAAACTAATAATCTTGAACTCAGCTGCAGCACTGTTGCAGTGCTCACATTTTTGGGGGAAAAAAAAGTTAGAACTGCTATGATATTCACAGTAATCTTGGCACATAGCATGTTCAAGAAAAAGAAGGCAGTGAAGGGTTTTGCTTTTACAATAATTAATTTACTCCTGAAGCAAAAACCTGTTCCTTTCAAAATGAGCTCAGGTGTTCCCCAGCATTTTGAAAACTGAGGGATCAGCTTTGTATCTTGAGAGGTCTCAAAAGGGCCATTAAGCCTAGAGGAGCTTTAACATTCCTCACAATCACCAAGAAAGCAGTGATTAAAATAGTTCGTTTTAATGAAGTTGTGCAGACTTTTCTCCTCTTTACTGCCATTCCTGCAGCAAATAGTTTCTCCCCATGAGTTTGTAGCTCCCTTAACTGAACATAGCCACTTTAGGCCAAATTCTAGCTTGTGTTTATGCAACTTCCCACTGACTAAAAAAATAAGATAGGAGCATGTCTGGCAGCGCAGTTGGCTCTTAAACATGTGGCCGAACGTGGTCAGAAGAGCAACTGTACTCTCAGTACTATCAGTAGAGAATAACAGTACTATCAGTAGAGAAGCTAAATCTTATCTGTTTATTCAAACTATCATTTATTTAACCTGTGCTTTATTCCCGTTAAAGCAACAAGAACTATACAAACGTTATGTGACCTCACAGCCAGTAAATAACATTATTGAATCAGCTTGGATGCTGGTACTTACATTTCAGAAGAGGGAAAAAAAATTTCCCCTCCTCTATGAACTGTGTAAAAGAATCACATACAATTTAACATCTTTACTAACAGATTGTACCAGAGACCTTTTACAAACTATAGCTATTCCAGTGCACAGCTTTAAGATTGAAATATTTATGGTTACTTTGGGATTTTCAGTGATGTTTAAGGAGAATAAGGAAATCAAACTGTATTATTTTCCAGTGAGGTCTGAGGCCTAATATCTATAAGCCCTTTGAAAATTCAGACCTAAAAAGGAAGGTAGAAGCTCAATACACCTGAACTCCTTCTGCAGTAAAGGATATCCTCAGAACTTAAAATGGAGTGAATTGCTGTACTGTCTGTGTAGATTGATAGCATCCTTAAACTAAGGATAATGCTCTTTCCTCTAAACGTAGAGGTAAAAAAAAGAAAGGGGGGGAAGCATTCAGATATTTTATTTAAAAAAAAAAAGATATAAGGTTTTTGAAGAGATCCACTTGTGTTTTGTTTTTTTTCCCCCTCCTCACCCTCTTCCATCTTCCATTTTTGGGGTGTTAGGGTCAAACATTCAAGAACAAGCATTTTGATTTCAGGGCTTACCAAGCAGAGATTTTAAATAACCAAGTCTATATATTGTCTTTTAAAATATTATAAGGGTGCTAGTCCTCCATACAACCAGGATAGGTTTTGCTTTTGTTTCACTTTCTGTATTTTACAGTACTACTAAATGGCAAGCATCAGCTGCTTCAACTGCTTCTACATAGCTGTAGAAGACTGGTCACAACTCATCAAATCAATTCCCGAGTGAAGGCTAAAAAAGCTATATACAAGTCCTAACAGATCCTCCCTCTCTTCCAAACAGGTTGAATGTTGAAAAAATGATGGTCGATACAGTATGCAGCTGCTGTATGCCACTTACACTTCAAAAGAAGAAAATCCAGCTACCATGCCAAGACCCAGATAATCCTGGAAAAAGGCTCATTACGGAAATAATCATATTTGATGGCTGTGTTTGTGACTTTGACAGCTGCATAGACTAGCTAGATCTCCAGACTAGTTAATTAAATGCTGATGAAAACTTCCCAGTTAACACTTTTGCAATGACTGCTCATTGCTGGGACTTCTCCCTTGTACTGATTATAAAGGTTATCCTTGCCAGGAGACCTCCTGAGCAGCTACCTGGAATGTCAATGAAGTTCACTGAATGATATATTACGTCTAATCGTGGGGCAGAGGGGGGGGAAAAAAAAGGATGAATGGGGGATGGGAGGGAAGACCATATCTGAGATGGTCTGGCCTTGCTCAGGGCAATATTTAACCAGAGGCTAAAAGTTTGCCTACACACTGTGCAATAGAAATTTGCTTTTCAAATAAAGTAGAAGGAATTTAATTTGTTAACTCATTTCTCATTGTTTGAGCAATTACTTAAAGGTGAAAATGTCTGTAAGGTTCACTACAGTTGAACTAGAAGCTGTAGAGTAGCCCATTACTTCAAATAGTGAGAAGAGGCAACTGAGGTGTGCGCTTCCCTTTTCTTTAAAGCCAGACCCAATGCTTCCTTTTGTCATCAGCAGCATGCAGCTGTTACCAGAAAGCAAGGGGCTGCATGAACCAAAGACCTCAGTGCAGTGGGGTTTCTAAACACAGCCCCTGTATGGTGGGATTTATGAATTCTATTAACATTTCTAAAAATACCATTAACATAAGTGTGCAGTGGCTTTCAGATAAAAGAAGTTTGCAGGGCATTTTTCTGCAGCAAGTTCAAGAGTCCAAAATAATTACCAGAACCCAGACCACAAGTTTAACAGAAGACAGATAGTTCACACAAGCAGTTTCTATTTGTGATTCACTTGAGAGAAAGTTGTGTGAGTGTACAGAAGCTCTTATGGCCCAGCTGTGTGGGGGTTTTTTGTTGTTGGTGTGTTGTTTGTTGTTGTTGGTTTTTTTTCAAAAAGCAAGTTTAGAGGCGTTCTAAGAACCTGAAGCATAGATGTAAAGTTTGAGTTAAGTTACTTAAGTGTTCAGGTACTCTTTCAGTCTTTTATACAGACACCCAACTCTTCATAAATCCTGTTTGTGTATAAAATCAGTGTATGCTTTTTATAGACTCTACCTTACCCAACTGTTCAAATGCAGTAACATGGAGGGCAACACATGAGAAGCCGTGGAAATGGGCATTTGCTCCTTGTAGATTAATGGAAACAAAAACAAAACTGCTGTTTTGAAATAAACTGAAGTCCAAAGAGCAAGTGTAAACACAGCAATTGTTAAAAGTATAAAAAGGTATTCTGTTGAGTTACAGCTGTTTAGTGTAGCATACACTGCTAATATACTTAAAGTCTTTCTTCTATAGGAAGAAAGATTTTTCTATCAAGTTTTAACAGTAGAATTCTGAGTCAGAACACATGACAATTAAAAATAACTGTGGGGGACAAGAAGTCCATGGACCAGGTAAGCCTGAACTGAAAAACGCACCAGTCATCCACAAGTTTAACACTACATAGAAAAGTTCTGTTCCGTAACATTATATTTTGCACAAATCAGCCATTTTATGCACATATTCTTTATGCTCCCACTTCCCCAGACAAAAAAGGACAATCTGATTACTGTTCTAATCATTTATTTAATCTTCACATGTTCTTCTGATGAATATATTGTCTAATATATAGTCTTCTATATGAAAATTCTCCACTTAATTTGACAGAACTTTGTTTTATACAAATAAGACAATCACCATAAATGTTACATACTGGAGTGTAGGTCAAGAATGCACATATGCTATCTGTCTTGCTATTCAATTATTTTCACATGTCAACGCCTGAAAATACTGTACTTTAAAACAATAACACTGTTTACTGCAGAAAGTTACTTTGTCTGCTTGAAAGGATACATCACTTTGGTAAATCAACCATCATTCACAAAAAAATCCAAAAAACCCAAAAAGCAAAAGCCATCAAGTATTTGTCCTTAGTTTGTTCACTGTTCTGCCCATGGCTTCACTGAGCTGACATCATCTAACACAAAATGTGAACAGTCATAAGCTTAATACAGCCACTATGCAAAAGACACTTCCCCTTACCCCCCTCCTTGATGTTTAATGCACATTTTAGCACAGCTTGAACCAAAGCTAAGTGAAATAAAGTAGTACAGTGTGTCTCAAGATGTCCTTTAATGAGGGCACAAAATGTTTTTAGAGGGACGGATGTACAACATGATTTGAAAAAAGATGAAATAGCAGCTCTTCTCCTGTCCCTGCTAAAATTCCCTTTAGCAGAGCTTAGTTCAGCACATCAGATTTTTAACGCAGCAGCCAATAGCACAGGGACAACACCATGGCACTAAAGGGACCTATCAAGTCCAAAAGACAAAATACACAAGGAGGTTCAGTAGTATGGTGTTTTGTTTTTTTTTTTTAAACTGCCCAACCTGACTTCAGGATCTCCTTATGAAGATTTTCAAAGACAATTTCTGTGATGTGAGCTTTGATTAGCTACTTGAAAGACTACCAAAGGCCCAACTGCTCAAGAAAAAAAAAAAAACCAACCTTCCAGAAATCCCTGGTCTATAGACAAGCTTTCAGTTAAAATATCCATAGTTTCTGACCACTGCTGGAGCAAAAAGCTTTGTTCCTCACTTTTCACTGGCTTTCAAGTATCATCACTGGCCCTAAACTGAACCAAATGAGAATCATACAGTTCTATCACTTAACTCGAAGCGCAGGGTGAGGGGAGCAAGGCACATCCAGCTATGTAGACTCCTGTCATGCTGCCCAGTGCATCCTGGGGACAGGAGCCTCATTTAAATGTGCAGTTTCAACTTCACTACTATTACTTGGTATCTAAGTTGCGTGAGCAAACTTGGGTTGTATGTATTGAAAGGCAGTCACAGGCTTCCTTTAAATAACCTTCAGGGAGTCCTGATATGAGATTCACTTTTAACACAAGCAGCAGCTGACTTCTTGGTTCACCCTGACCAGCACTACCTTGCCAATAACTGCCCACAGTTCCTAACTGCATTGCCTCACCTACCTTGCTTTAGTAGCATCTGAAGGCTTGAAGGATGTAAGCCAAAGTTATGTCCAATTATTTCTGCAGAGAATCTGTAAAGAGTTTGCTGGCTGATGTGGAACAAGCTAGAAAGGCATTGGTTGTAAAAACTGAACATTTTCAGCCTTTCTACTCTCAATCTAAAAAAAAAAAAAAACAACACAAAGCTCCTACACCACATTGGATATTTTCATCACCACTGACAGAAGAGAAACTGTTCAGGTATCAACTATTCCACCACTTAAGTTCTGTCATGACTGTACACTGGGGGGGAATACTGTTTAAAATTAGATTTGTGTCTGCAAAAAAGTGCATGCCTTACAGCCTTCAAGTGCCTGTTTCTTCCCTCTTCTATTTTTCATTTTTACAATACCACAGTGATCAGAACCCATTCTCTCCGCATTTAGTTGTATCACATCATCAGGGCTGCTATTCACTAAATCTGATGGGAAACAAACCACAGAACAGACTTTTTAAAACCTCTGTTTGACTAATAACAAACAAGTGTAAGTACTGGTTCACCGCCCGCCACAGAAGCTCACCTCATTACTTGAGATGAGCAGAAGGATTAAGAACAGCCTTTGTGTTGCATCCACTTTTCAAAAAGTAGGAAAAGAAAATGGTAAAGGATTACAAGATTAAGAGTTTGGTCCTGTGGTATTTTGCAAATGTAACAAAAATCAGTGACATTCAGCATAAGTGTACACTTAAACCAAATTCAAATACATCTTGTAATCTGCCAATTCATCCAATCCAAAACTTGTGGCAAAAGTTTCAAGACATTTACAAATTCATTTAGAACAGAAGCCATGCAACAAGAAGCTGACTCTTGATTTCATTGCTCTCAGTCATTTTGGCTTTGCATTAATATCTGAATTAGTCTAACTGAGCAGTATTACATTGGTTTCTTTTAGCTCAGAGCAGAGGGAGTGCGCCTATTAAAGGCGCTGGCAGAATGTTATGGCCGCTTCCAGTTGAAATCCGCACTTATCACATCTAATTAGTTTCCCTTTAATAAATTTAAAAGCCTGACCTCTGCAAAATGGAGCATAAGACAGCTCTCCCACCCTTTGCACACACACAAAAGCCATTTTTAATATAAAAAGCCACTTCCCCATACTGTACATTTTATAGTCTTAATTTCAAACAAGGGACAAGTCCTATTATGGCGGGAGCTTGTATTGGTTAACATTGCAGTACTCAGACAGTGATGTACAAGACATTTATTTGCAGTATGATAACAATGATATAAATGGAAAAACAAAACAATGACATGGTTAAAATTAAAATTGTTCTGACAGCAATTCACATAATCTCTGAGATACAGCTTCTTTACTTGTTCGTAGTGTGAGCCTATACATCTGAAAAAGAACATAAAATATTTTATTACTACTGTTTTTTACATACAGTTTGGTGTTAAATGAACTGCACAGATAGCCAGTCACCACTTAGTTTTGTTAGATTTGGTAGGAAACGACCTCAAGTTAAAACATTCAAAAGCAGCCAGCTATCAAGTAACATAGCTCTTTCAAAGTACAGGCTGGAGTAAGTCTTTCTTGATGGAAAAGAAACATTGTTCTAGTATCTCTCAGCATTTAACAGCAAGGTGACATCCAAAATTTGGTTTTGCCTTTAAGGGAAGAATATGGAAGACTACCAGAAGAATCCTCTTGAATAGTTCAAAGACTGTTTACAACTACTTGATCAGAAAACAGGAGAGCCATTACCCCAAACTTACTTTCAGAGACAAGTGATTACTACCATAAGAGACAAGAGCCTCAATGAACTTTGATAACATGTCTATCAAGAGGCTTTAAGTCAGAGAAAAGAAATTCTTAGCAGTTTTGTGTTCATCTAATGTTTTCTTTCAGCAACACCATTCTTCTATTAATTTAACATGGCAGGCAATTGCATTTAATCTTGTTCAAGGTGCCTAAAGGGAAAAACTTAAGTGTTCCCAACCTTCAAGAGAAGATGATGCCATGTGGCCAGTCTAGAATAACACAGTGACCCCTTAAAACAGGGGAAAGGATTACCATTGAAAAGTAGCTTACCAAGCTAGGCCAGGACCAACTGCTAAAGTTTAATCTCCTTGTTAGTCTGCAGTCACAATTAGCTATTGCAATAGTGATTCTAAAAATATCTTAATGATTTCCCATATATACATTCTTATTCAGTGCAAAGAAGAATTTATATTTAAGCTGTAGATACAGAAACAGATACCTGTGCCTGCAGGTTGGGTTCAAGGCGCAGCAAGCATCCAATCTGTGTAGTTTTTGTATGTATAATACCAGCACCAACAAAGTTAGCAGGGTTGGGATCTACCTCCTCAAGCAGGGCAGATCCAAAGCCAATTATCTATCAAAGAAACCCAGAAGATTTTTAGATGTAGTAGGGACAGAAGGACAGCAGTACCAACTAACTTCAATCACTAATGAAATTGACAGTCTACCCCAGCATAGCCACAAACAATTAGCAAGGCAAGTAGGAGATTAAGTTTTAATTTGAAGCGTTCAAGAAGTAAAAGAACTTTAGCAACTACCCAATACCAATTTTATTACAATAGGAACTTCTAGAAGGACAGAGCGACTCCCAATATTGAGATGTTCCTGAAATAAGATTCTTTTGGAAAACTGAGAAATAATTTTGATGCTATTTAATTCTCCTTTTTAATTAGGATACAGACTTCCCTGCCTTACTCTCATCTCTGTTCTGCTGAAGGCAGTCAGCTTTACAAAAAGTCACAATACTACCTTGTTTTCTTTTGAAATTAGCACAAATCTAGTACAAATTAAAGCAGAAGATACTTCAAGCCTTAAGCATGGAATTCACATTTTCATAAATAACTTCAAGTTTCCAGTGCTGTTGGAGACTATACCTAACTCAAGCCATACTGAGAAACAGTCCTTCCCACCCAGCCATGCCAAGGGCCAGTTACACAGCACAGACTTAGTTTAACAGCATGAGCCTAGTGCCATAAAGACCAAAACAGGCAAATTTTGCTTATACCACTATCTTTATACTATGAATTAGAAATACCATGCTACCACCCACCTTTGCTTTTGTGATCTCTGCATCCATTGGGTGCTTTGCTTTAAAGATATTCTGTACTTCTTGTTTAGGACTGCAAGGCAAGGCACAGATGAGTATTTTGGTGTATCACGTAATTCAGTATCGTTTAACAGCTATCTGTACTACTTGTATTGGGCGAGGTTCTAACTCACAGGCGTAAGTACAGAACAGGGTGCTGCACTAGCTGCATTCACAGGCGTAAGTACAGAACAGGGTGCTGCACTAGCTGCATTCACAGAATACTTTTCTCCTTTCTTTGGCCCACCCCAAAAAGCCCCAAGTCCAAGTTTAAACAGGGTCTTACTTGCTCAGTTGCTTCCAACGCTGGAAAAAGTCTTGAGAAGACATCTCTGTAGGCTGAAAAAACTTATTCAGTGTGATGGGTAACTTCACTGAAAGATTTTGAAATGTTCCACCATACCTATATGCAAAATACACAGAACATAGGGCATGTAGTACAAAGTGTCAGCAGTCTCAGTGCACATCAACCAAGCAACTGAGGATGAATACTAAGGTGCAACTGCTTGCCAATTAAAGTAGTGTTATCAGCTGTCTTAACTGAGAAATTGCAGATCACGTGATTTCTAAGCTGCGAGTTTTAATCCACCATTAAATGATTTTATCTGCTCTACCTAGACAGAACATGAAAGTGAATTGGTAGAATTTCTCATGAGGATGTCATTCCATTTCACCACAGGTACTTATCCTTCTAGATAGCGCCCAGCAAGGGGGCAAAGAGATATGCTTGTGGAAACGCACCAATTAAAAAACCTCCAGTTTAGGCTACAGCAACACAACATAGTCCAGAAATCAGGACTGCAAGCACAAGTTTTTCCCCAAAGGCTGACAATGAGTGGACATAACAAGATTTATGGCTTTCCCCCCTGCCCCTCCCTCCCCCCCCCCCCCCCCCCCTTTTTAAAAAAGGAAATTCTTCATTTCTGGAAGAAAGATTAATCTATGCCATATATTCCAGTCAAGGTTTCTTGAGCAAAGAGGAAGACTACCGTTTGACACAGACAGCAGAAACTGAAGCCATGGGGACACTAACAGAAGCTGCTTCTTGGCAGGTTTGTTTTTTAAGCTTACTCTTCCAAAAGTTGGTTCCCTCCCTCCCTCAGCAGTTTAAAGCTTTGTTAGATCAAGTTTTCAGGAAAGTTACCTGCCCAAGACAGCTTTCGATTTGTGTGTCTATTCTACATTTCAGTCAGAGGCCCAGGTGAACTTAAATATTTATGTAATAAATTCAGCAGCATTAAAATAGCTTATTACCTGAACTGAATGTTCAGGATTGGTGCTTCCATAAAGTCGGACACACACTCAATGTTCACAACCTGCTGCACCTGTGCACCTCCATCCACTGTAGGGTCAACAGGTTTTGTCTGAAGATTCAGGCATGAGATGTGGTTAAGGAAACCAATCAATGAGCTGATAGCTTAGAAACATTGCTTTTAAGTAGTTTGCCAGTAAAAATCACTTAACATTGCATCTGCTGGTTCTCTGCTACTGAAAATCCAAAGCTCAATTCTTATACAGTAAAATTTATTCTTTTCCTGTTGACACATCAAGAAGCAATAGCTCCCAAGTTTGCAGTTATAGGAATATCCAAAAAAAAAAAAGGTATGAAGGCCCTGACTTTAAAATAAAAGCCCCAGCACTCTTGTTTTGGCCCAAACATTACAGTGATGCTTTGAGTCAAACAAGCTAGACTACATGCTCTCCCAGAAATCCCAAATTGTCAATATCAAGAGTTAAGTGCAAACGATAACCAGAAATTAAGACCTTATTTTAAGGTACTAGCATGCTTGTGCATACATATTCCTCTACCTCTCTTTCAAATCAAAAGTCATCTGCTAATGCAGGACTGGAAGGACATCATACCTATGCCTCTACTACTTCATGTCAGTGGACAAAGCTACAGAGTTAGGTTACATTTATCCAGAATAATATATTCTGGATTCAACAGTTTAAAACTGTGGTTACAGGGACAGCTTTAAGAGAGAATCTATTTCTGCTAAATACTTAGGGTTTTTTTCTACAAAAATTTCTAAGTTATTCAACAAACTGCTCATTTCTTCATGTTTGAGGACAACAAGCCTCGATCAGGTAGCTTTATTACACTTTTGTGCTTTATGCAGTACAAAACAAAAGAACAGATGCATGCTGTTGCATTTAAGGATATTTGACTGAAGGTCATCTGAGCAGATTACTGTTGGAGTAAAATTCAGGAACTGTGTTGATGTCTTATTGCCATAGAATATGAACATACGTCCTAGAAAAAAATAAGTAAAGGCATCAGAAGTTTTAGGTACATCACATGCAATTATATTGCACTATGCAGTTCAAGGATCTAACACGTTGGCTTTCTACCCTTCTTTAAAATAATTTGAAAAGAAAGCACAATTTATTAACCCAAAAGCAGACATGGCCACCTGAGAACAGCAGCCTATAGCTCACAATGAATAAAAAGAAGGTTTAAGTAGTTAAACAGAGAATTGCCTGTTACGCACTCATCTTGGAAAAAGTAACATAAACCAGGCTTATCTAATATATCAGCCACCTACAGGAACCTTCAATGAGAGGCCTTCAATGTATACCTTCAAGTCTTAACCCACTTTTACTCTCTTAACATTTTTAATGGAAGCGTTACATGCAGTTACAGCTTTTATCTTCCTGCGATATTTGCAGCTTAAAATGAAATAACATGAAAATAAACCATTAGAGCTTTCCCACAATAGCTGTCACACAGGCACTAAAAATAATCCATGGAAGTCTGCCAGTCACTAGGAAAAACTTTCCTTTTTTTTTTTTTTTTTTTTAAATACAAAATCGTTACTGTGGTACCAGAACTGATGCAGAAGAGAACCAAGCAGTCCTTGTTCTGGACTATGTTCTATTCTCAGCTCTTTACTAGACATGTTCAGTACCCTGTACATCAATATCTTTTGGTAGAACTGTGCTTGAAATAAATTCTGCATCATATGGTTACAAAAAGCTCTACTGTAAAATAGACACACACAAGAGAAAGGTCACTTACAACCCAGGCTGTATCAGCCTCATGATGAGGCAGTAAAAACAAGAACTCACAGTACTACCTACACTCCCATTTCTCAGCTACCAAAAGCAGCTGAAAAGTTGAAGAAAAGAACCCACACAGAAGCCACAAACAGAGAAGATCCTAAGAGAGTTAGGACTGAAATCAGACTCCCCTTTTAAAACAGCTGAAAAGTAAGTCTTATCTTCAAGATCACACTGATATGGAGGTTGATGCACAAATAGCTAACCACTCCGCGCAAAAGCTCTTACCCAGGTTCTGTCGAAACTCAGATTTCAGTCCAATTTGGAGCAACTGATTTTCAAATAGGACTCCATTATTTTTACACACAAACCTAGAGGAAAAGAGCCAACATGCATTTTAATTGAGACAAATTAAGAGCATCTAGAACCACAAAATTCAGGGTTTATATAGAGGATGAAGACTGGTTAACCTAAAGCACATCAGTCTGTGAGAGAGGCCTTTGCAGAAAATTGCAGAGTTAAAAAGATGAATACATTTTATAATTAAAAATCACTCGTAGAACACTAAAATAACCAAGTTTCTATTCGATGGGATACCTGAAAAACTACAGAGGAAGCCACAACATGCTATAGACACACACTAAGAAGGACTAGGCAACAGACTATTAATTCTCCTATTTTTGGCAACTTCTGGAATTCATTAGGCTGGTGCAGAATTAAAAGTTTGAAGCTCTGACTGTTGAAACATAAAAGACCCCCTTGTTTCATCAATTCTGTATCATGTACATTGACTTGACAATTGTGGTTTTTTTATTTTGAGAGAGCAAGCCTGTTCTGCAGGTATTTCAGTCCTCCTAACCTTCACAGAGGTGGTCAATGAACATTAGCCTTTTTCATATACAGCACTACACAAAACATGCTTGCAAATATCAGTACTGTTGGTAAATTCTTACCCTTTTAAAGAGTTGTCTGTATTTGCAAATAGTTGCAAAGCTTAATATACAGCTGGCATTGCCATAAATGCCTTATTTAAGAGTCAGTGCTATCACACACTATAAACAGGCAACTCTAAGCTGTGGATTCATGAGCGTGTCATACAATGCACAGCATCTACAGAAACGTTCTGGTCACAAGAAGTCTGACAATATACACACACATATATATGTTTCTGCCCAATTTTGCTAGCGCTAATGCACACTATTGTTTTTCTCTGTAACTATATTCTGGAATTTGCCCAGCCTTGCAAGGTTTTAGTGTTGCTTACTTGTGAAAAAGCTCATCAGCATCATGCACAGTATCAGCTGGTTCCTCAGAAACTACCTCAGATGAAGCCAGGTCAGGGCTAGTTCAGGCAGCACAAAGGAAGAAAGGTGGTAGCGACAGAGATAGCAGGAGTTAGTAAAGACAGCTTAGTGCTTAGTTATTTCCTTCATCTCCTTCCTCAAAAATGGCACTTGTGAGAGTTTAATGCATGAGAAGTTTATTAGCTGCCCTAGTTGAGTACACCTGGAAAGGTTTTAGGCATTAAGTGATTATTTTCCTCCTTTTCTTTCCCCCACCCCACTCCATGATTATTAGGAACCAGGAATTCCTCCTGAAGGCAGGAGATGCTGAAGGTGTTCAGCAGCTTAAGTTGATACCTCTTAAACAACGAAATCCTTTTAGGCATTTAACTGTGACAGTTTTTTAGTTCAAAACCATAAATGGAGGGGGTATATTAACCACTGCAAACCTGCATTTTGAAACAGACCTCATCAACATTACTAGAATTTCTAATGATGGTTGCACAGTCTGTTCTTAGAAAGAAACCCACAAGTATTTAAAGCGTAGGCAACAGTACATGGGCATATGGAGCATGACTAAGCCAAGTAACAGATTGGAAGCAAAAGTGACAACAGCACTGAAAAAGCAACAGGAAGCTACAGAAGGCAACTTCGCAATAGCGTTGAAGGAGCGTTTCACCTTATACAGACCATGGCTGGACAATGCTAAACTTTCCTCTGCAGCAAGAGAAAATTCTTTTTCCAATAACCTCTTCTTATGAAGCTATTAGTCTGATTTTAAAAAAAACAAAACAACTTTTTCTTTAAAAATAAGCTCTAACAAGCCTGCAGAGCTTCTTAAAATTTTGGTACTGTGTAGCACAATTAAACACCACTTACCGCTTTTCAAGAGAAACGCGGGATCAAGTTGAATCACTGCAAACCTGCAACAGTGCCTGGCCTTGTATAACATTCTGATGAAAGGCTAAGTGGTCCAGGCAGATTAGTTTCACTAATTATCCTTTTATATTAAGATGCCCTGCAAGTGCATCGTCACATCATGACGTGACGTCCTTGATAATATTATGTTTTTTTAGCCAATAATAAGATAGATTTTTGAAAGATACACTGTCATCTTACACTATTTACTTCCAAAATTTTAGGCAAGTGACATGCGAGTATAGCTACAGTGGCAATCAACATTCTTAAGGGGTCAATAACATACATTGCCAGCTGTAGTATCAGGCATAGCAAATAGGAAGATAATTTTATGAAATCTCCCTCTCCCAAAAAAAGAAAACCATTTTTTCTTTAGACCCGTTTGTCAGACAGTAGCAGAGCAAGGGAAATATTTCTTCAAACCGAGACAGTATCTCTGAATATATAGCTAGGAACAACCCAACCCACTGTTCCAGTGTAAGTTTGCCATAAGTGAGGTGATGCTAGAACACTTTATGGAAACAAGATATGATGTACAAGAACAATGTATTCATGTTGGGCCAGATAACCCCAAAACTTAGCATGTATTACTGAGATGCGCAAGCAGCTTAATTTAACAACGAAGCAAAACCAGCAAGAAAACTAGGCAAGACTGTGGCTAATATCCTCAGGCTGACTACTACAGAATCAGTTTTGCATGAACAAAAATATTCAATAAAGACAGCATATCCAGCATATAGAGCTCAAGAACGCCCCTTCTCTTCCACAATTACTACCTGGGAATGCATTGAAACAGCTGGAAGAAAATTGAAAGTTATTTTTTGGATGTATTCTCTTCTCTAATCCTGTTTTAATAGGCAAATACTTCCCCAGAGACCTTACACAGTGTCTCATTTTCAATTACCTCGCAAAGTTGTCATCAGAACCAGGAGCAAGAGGTGCAACTGCAGAAGCTGAATCTGAAAATACATCTACGAGCAGGCTACCGCTAGAGGCCGGTGGGGGAGCTGAATTGGCGAGAGGGGCTGCACCCAGACCCAGCAGATCCGCAGATGGAGAAGGAGTAGACTAGGGAAGACAAGACACTTCAGAGTTAAATAAGACTAAAAAAAGATCTTTTTTTGCATAGACAGCTAAGCTACAGCACAGTGCTTCCCTCCCCATCAAGGTTTAGGCAGACAATGGAAGACTTCATAAATGCAGTTACCACCTTGTGTTTCAATTTAAGTCATTAACAGATGCTGTAGGGTTCCTTCCCCCTCCCCTTTGAATTGAGTTATCACCACCTAGAAGTTAGACACACACAAAAAAAAAAAAAAGCTGTCCACCTGGATTCTGATTCTGTGGAAATCAAGACAAGTACTGTAGGTAGTAAAAAGCTAACATGTTCCTTTTCTTTCCTGAAGAATTAGGCACTGCCTTTATGCAGGCCTGAATCAAAAACCTCACAGCATCTTAAGCTGACCATTAGTTTAGTCTTGAGGGTTTCAAAGCTTGAAAAACCCTTAGAAACACGGCAAAACCTCAACAGCAAAAAAGCAGAGCTTGTAGTTAGTTCAGACTACAAGCACTAAAGATAGAGATGAGACCTTTAAGAAGGTTTTTCTTAGAGTAAATCAAGGAGCCAGGACACAGAATCATGCACCATCAACTGAGAGCACACGTGAAGCCTCTGGAGTCACATACGAACAAAATACAGGTAGGTAGTAACCAGTGTTTATGCATTAGTCTACAGCAGGCCAGATATGCTAGAGATGAGTTATGAGATAAAGAAATAAAAAGTTTTAGACTTGCAGACACAACCGTTAGCTTTAAGTAGCTCATCCAAATGCAAGTCAACTCAAAGTTACCATGTACTCCAAAGACCGAATTTGATGCAGGATAACCAAAAATTCCCTAAGACTTTTTCATTTTAGCACCTCACCTTCACTGCAATTTAATCAGAGCAAGGATATTTCCATTTCTAAGGTTACAGCCACATTTTTCAGAGTAAAAACATAAGAGGGATTTTTTTAGCCTGCAGACAATTCCCCCTCATTTACACTGTAAGTCTTCCAAAGGAAAGCTGAATTCAAGCATGCAGGGGAAGTAACTACAGGTTCCTCTAGGACTTTCTAACAAACACCTCTAGTCTTAAATTTAAGACCAAAAGTTTGAAGCCCCGAAAAAGCCACTTTAAGGAAGCAATTCCCTCTTCACTTCCACATCTTGTGAAGTACTGAAATAAGAACAGTTTTTAAAACTCACAACAGCACTGGCATTGACAGAGGCAGGTTCAGCACTTCCATTCATATCAGAGCTCCTCTCCTTTTTGATCTCTTCCAGGTCAGTAACTGTGCCAGGACCTTTCTTCTTCTTGAGCTTAGCCAAAATAGAAGATTCCCTCTCTGGAAAGGGAGGCATTTCTTCTAGCACTGTAGCCTTATCACAGAAAGGGCATATTAGTTATGTTTACAAAGAAAGCCAAATCAACCTTCTAGTCTTTGAAGAGAAACTCCCTTATATATTGCATGATGTTCAGGTAAAAGTAGAAATAACTACCTATACAGAAAACCACTACGCAGTCTGTTAAACAGTGGTAGAGTAAATTTGCCTTTAAAAAAAAAAAAAATTGAAAAAAAACTTTCTGAAGTCCACTTTGTTTGGTGACTTGGAAGCTTTTGCCGAAATGCCCTTCCTCCTCTTTCACCCTCTTAATGACACCATCCATGGACAACAGACCTGACCTTGAAGATACACAGAGCATAATCTTCAGAACAGCCTTCCCAAAGGAGGTGCTTACAAGAACAGGTGCACATTGCTTCTCTAGTAAAAGTGCTATTAGAGGAAAAAAAAACAAAGAAAACAACACACACCACAAACTACACACAAACCAGCAAAAAGCTTGGATCACAGCAGACCTAAAGGTCCTTAAGTTAAGCAGACCTAGATTGGAGCCAAAGACTACCCAGACTACGATCTATTTAGACCTAAACATTTATCATCAGTCCCAAAACTGAGGGTGACATGCTCTGGCCAGACCTGAGAACATCAAGCTAAAACACTGTCTGGGAACTTCTGGGGACAAGGAATTACAAGTTTCCTGCCCACCAACCTATAAGTCGATTTTCAAAAATACTAGTCTATGACTTTTGAGTCAAACAAAACACAAGCATTAAGTGGAAGACTTATAATTCCATTTAGTCTCGAGTCATGTACCGACTTTGTCAAAGAGTTCTTTAAGCTATGCTATCTTCCTTTTCTAATCCTCAAAAGATTGCCATCAACTTTTCAGTCATTGCAGAGCTAAATGATACAAAAAGACTAGACCAGGAAAAAACATCAGTCTGTGTCAGACTTTGAAGACTTGTTTGAATAATTACACTTTTGAAAAATGCTAGTCAAATCTCTGAAAAACCAAAACATATTGCATTAACACACAAGCCACCAGCACACAGCTCTCCTACTATTCCCTTCAGGTAATACTCAACGTTGACATTTTACAGGTTCTGCATGTATATGGTTGTAGTGTGCACATACGTGTTTAAACGATTATCTACTTCCAGCCTCCAGCAGCTCACTTCCATTGAGGCAAGAACTCCAGTTTTGTATGCTTTACTAAAAACTGTCCATGCTTGCATGTTGATCTACCACTCACAAATTTACTTAGGCATTCCCAACCTTCCTCTAAAAGCACACAAACTACTCCAGTTGATCTTTAAAGACAGTATGCACGTCATTTGACCACGAGCAATGCCCATGGTAAGGCTTTCCTCAAGCACTTAGGCTTCCCTCAAGCCAGAGCTCAGCACTTCAGTAACATGAACTGTCCAGTCACTCAAGACTCTGCATGAAACACAGCTATCAGGCAGTTCTAATTTAATTGTCAGTTAAAGTCACAGCTACCTAGTGACCGCTCCAGAAGAACATGCAAATATTGAAATGTAAAAGTCTTCAGAATATAAGGCACCAGGCTTTCAGTGTACAAATACCGTAGGGCCTTGTACTATACCAGCTTTCACCGAGATGAGATTAACATGCACTAACTCTCATTTTTCCACCAGAACAATAACAGCTTTAATTTTTAGCTCTAAGTGAAAGATGGCTGCAGATAAATTAGGTAGATAGATTAAAAAGAACCACAAAGGAAAAAACAGCAGCCAGGTTGTGGACCCTTAATTTGAATTAAGTTCTCAGCTAAGGTTTAGTGGAATTTTATTCATTGACAGAAGATCCAGAACTGGATTTGATGTTCACACAGCCAGAGAGTTCTCCATAACAAAAAACAAAAAAAAAATCTCTATACCTACCAAAATATCAGTACTGGCAATGGTACTGAGCCTCAGATATTCAACAGCTCTCTGCTGCAGCTCAACATCAGCATTCTTTAGCTGACTGTCACTGCGCAGTACATCTTGAATTGTAGTTTTGATTTCTGGAAACAGGTTCACAAACTTGATGTAGGTAGACAGAAGCAGAGCTCGGGTAGGAACACTACACAGATGGAACTTGGAGTGTAGCAAGTTGAACTGGATGAGGGGACTTAAAAGATAGGGGAAAAAAAATCATTTGTTCAGTTTCCATAGAGATGATAATTCTTAATTCATTATTATCAAGCGCCAAATCGTTTGTTCACAGGTTTTTAAGAACATTAAGCAGATGTTAGTTCTTTACAAAAGAGGTATTACTATTCCAGTTGAGTATTTTAAGGGATCTTCTTTAAAAGCATTTTACCTTGACCTTGGATCACCTGCTATCAGATTTCCAAATTCTCCCAAAATGTAGCCACCTACTTTTACAAGATTCTCATGGCATGCTGGAGCTTGAAGGGCCTGTAAGAACACATTAATAGTTGGTCATTGATCTGTAATATGTCAAAAAAAAAAAACAAACCTACTCCACCTGTCAGTTCCACAGCCAGTTTCCTGGTGTACTTTCCTAGGACAGCAGATCATAGGTCTAGGAGCTATAAAGCCACTTACGCAAAAACATAGTAGAGATTTTTCTATAAAATATAGAAAGATTAACCAAGCTAAGTCATACCTAATGTAAGTGTCACTAACCCAAGAGTATTCTTAGAACCCACCTAAGCAGCACCGTGGACTTCTGAGGACAGATACAACCTAATATCCTTAGGATGATTTCCTTAACATCCTTAGGAAAGTCAGAAGTATGTTAATATTGAATTCGATTCTTGCAGGAACGTGCTGAAGCTGCCCAAGATGTAAATACTACCTTTTAAAGTATGAAGGCATCCACAGTGGCTTAGCGTTCAGAAAAAGGTACCAAGAAAGTAGAAAGACCATATCAAGAATCCAAGCGGAGTCAGAGCAGTAAGTCAGCCATTTGGAAAACTCTCCCTTAATAGTTCAAATTCCAGTTGTATCAGATCCTGAACACCAGGAATAGGCACATACTCTAGAAGGATCACTAAATTATCTCGAGTGTTTGGATTCCTACGGCCCAGAAAACTGGAAAAACTTGCAAAAGCCTCCTGCTTTTATTTCATGTTTCAGTAATTTTCAGTAATTTTCCAGGTAATGCAGTTTCTTTACTAAGCTATCCACTCAAAAAACTCAGTTTTTAAAATGCAGCAATAAAAAAAAGTTTAATTTAAAAAAACAAACAAACATACAACCCACCATCCCTCCCCAGAAACCTATACGCAACCAGGCAACCAAGCGATTCCACATTACTTACCCAAGCCAGAGCAACTTTTCGTCAACCTAATCTAGACTGTGAGCCAGAGACTATGATACTAGTTATACACAAAGCTCCAGCAGTATTTTCTTGAAATAATTCATGAGGAGATTTTTAATTCTTCTCTAACATGGGGAAGCATGTACAGCTGCTAGACTACATGATGTTTAGTTTCCACACCATTTTGAAAGCAAACGCAGAAGAGTCATTCTCACCTCAAAAACAGTCTTTGCTGCATACCCTTGAACATCATCCCTGTTAATGACAATCTGAATAACTCGGTACCACACTTCTTCACTGACATAGTCACCAGCAATGCGAATCAGATTCAAGATTGTATCCACATACCAGGTATAATCCACTGCATACTTCTCAGCTAGAATTGCTACTTTCAGAACCTGAACACACACAGAAGACAAGACAGCAGAAGCTAGTCAATCATCATCTTCTATAAGCTGTGAATCAAGATCCACTTTTATACATCCAGTGAAGCCTCAAGGCAACCCAGAAACATCCATTTCAGCCGTCTCTGCTAGCACACTTGCTCCCACAGCTAAGGTGAAAGATGAATATTGATGTTCTATGCCGGGAATTGCCTGCTGCCAGGCACACAAGGAAGTCCTAGGGATGCATTAGAATGTGCTGCAAGTAGTACACAGCTGAAGAGTCACAGATTAACTAAGCGATCGAGAACAAGCTGTTGAAGAAAATGTTTTGTTATAAAAAGCATTTAAACCATCACTGAGACAGCACTAAGTAGGAACTTGGGAGAACTCTTCAAAGAAGTTTGGATGTTCAAGCTAGTAGAGACAGGCCAGAGTCACCAAAGTAGTTGTCATTTCAGACCATATCAAGATTCATATATCCTTAAGCAAAGGGTCAGCAATAGGAAGAAACTACCACATCATTTGGACTGGCTTGTATCTGTACTCGCCAATTCTTTTGGGAGTAGTAAACTAACAGAATGAAATTCACGCCCATCTGCAAAGTCAGTGTAGGCTGCCAACAGCAACAAGACAATATAAGAGGTAAATCCAGTAACTTTCTATTCTATGTTAGTTAATCTGATCAAGAACTTTTAGCACCTTAGTCCTAACTAAATAATTACTGTAAATACAGACTATGGCTACATTCTAGGAACATCAGTCACTGGGTATTTAATCTTGCATTTTTTTCCTGCTGGGAGAAAGGAGATAGACAACATTCCTCCCTTGAAACTCATCATATAAGGCAGAGTTCTTGGGAATCCTTAGAGTGAGGGAATGGTCTCATAGCACACAGTTTAAGACTTTACATACAAAAATAAGCATTTATCACACTAAGTTTTGAAACAGTTAAACAGTCGTCCAGAGATAAGACATAACTCAGTAGAACTAGAGACAGTACTTGCTTGAGCACTAAGAAAGTTCACTTCACTGTCTTTATGCAATGGCCTGAAACCAAAGTTAGTTTTTAAAATTCCTTATTTCAAGTGTTTTTTCATTAGTTTAACCTAAATGAAGAGGTCATTATTAGATATAGGCTTTATGAAGTTTCACTTTTTTTTTTTTAAACCACCCTCAAAGAGTCTCTATCACAGAGTACCCTGCATCCCTCTCAAGGAACAAGGCATGTGGTGCATAAGCCAGATACAAAAAAATTTAAGGAAGTACAAATATCTCACAATTTCTTCTCTAATGGAATAATCAGCAGTCTCCAAATAATTCAGCATTTCAGCCACAATCTGTTGAGCATTGCTTCGGTCACACATCGCATACAGGAGATCTACAGCTCTCTGTCGTACACTCACATCCCTTTCAGTCTGCAAAAGGGCACAGAGTAGAAGGTCAACATGATCTCACCTGCATTTGGAAAGCATGTGAACTTACTGAAAAGATTAAGCTTCCACATTTTACCATTATTCAGTCAAATTTAAGACAAATGAATGTTAATAAGCTTTCACATGCAGAAAACAGTTGTTCAAAAACTTTGACATATCCTTGACATGAGCCGCAAGTTTCTCATGTTATTCCCACTCTCAGTCACCTTGGGAGAGGTCACTGGAGACTCAGAGGGCTTACTGGTTTTATATAACATTTAATCTTAAAATCATACCATGAGGTTTTGTTTAAGTACTTATGTATATTCAAATCTGGGCAAGCTCTGAGAATATGGAAGAGTTCGCACAGAACTCTGCTACTGCCCTAAGTGGTGCCCTATAGTGCTTGTGGTGCACTATACATACGGTAACCTGTACCACTTGTCACAAATGCATTAATAACCAGCCAGGACTGCCAAACTTATCAGGCCAATGGGCAATTCATGACCTGGAGGTTTAGCATTGAGCTTGATTCAAATCAATAGAAGCTCAGCTAAAAAAAACACAACAGAGGTACATGCTTTAAGGTTAGATAAATGTATTAATATGCTACAGCATGAGGTTGGAAGGAAACATTACACGTAAACACTGAAGCGTTTTGCACTGCCAAGCAAATAGGTGCAAATAAGTCCTCCTATTTCCATTTCTGCTGGAGATCCAGCTTTAAGGTTTCTTGACTTTCGAAAAAATTTAAGATTCTGTAGGGGAAGTTGATCACCTACTCTACTGTTCCCCACAAGTTGCTGTGGTAAAGGGTTAATGTCTGTTTTTAATTAGCAAAGATAGCAACAAGACAAAGTCTTCCTGAGCATTCTTTGTTAAATGTCAGCTTTTCTGAAAGACTCATTTGTCTTCCATCTACAGTTTGACCCCTGTAACGTTTTGGAGCCTCAACTACAAGTATCAGATCCACCAGTAATCTGCAAAAGTAAAATCAAAGTTGACTTTTATTGTTTTAAACATAGCATAATTTTTACAGAGTTACAGAAAAAAACTACAGCAAGCGTCTAGAAATAACTCATTTGGTCCCCAAGTATTATTAGCCTAAATAGGGCAGAGAGGGTGAGGGGACAGAAGGAAGAGACTTAAAACAGACTGTATATTTAATATTTACCTTCAATGCATTGATAACTGTTTCTATGTGTGTTTTCACAGCCTCATGTGAGAATTCAGAGCTGGCAAGCGTGCACATGCTTTCCAGTGCTAGGTAACGCAAATTAGTTTCTCGGTGCTGCAAGAACTGACCTAGCTGGTTACAGGCACGGACTAGTAGATTTGGCTCACTGCACAGAACAGGAGAGAAAGTAAAGGGTTAAAAGCAACAGATACGAGAACACTGGATACAGAATACTGTTTCTACAGTGCAAGTTTCTTAAAGTGCCTCAAAAAGCGTATGCCAGAACTCCTGCTGGTGTCATGAAAATTCAGATATTGTGAGTGAATAATCTCTATTGGATTAGAGTTGTGCATCACAACACAAAACTAAACACTAGAAGAGAGCAAGAAACAGCAATAAAAAAATTGCCAGTGGTGATACAGTTCATTAATACTGTTCAACTCCAGTGCTGCAGGTGATGTTTCAACCTGGCAAGCAACTTCATACTCTGATGTTCCCTCTTAGTAAAATTCTATTTAGCATTCAAGACAAAGTCACGGTTTTCCATTTAAAAAAAAAACAAAAACACATATATACACCATCACACACAACACACTGCTGTAATAAAAATGTTCATGCAGCTCACCTGTCATGATGTATAATTAAGCTTATTGCCTCAAACAGCACAGCATTCTTTGCATTTGAGTGTTGTACTTTCTTAGATTTTGGTGGCTCCTGAGCTTTGTTAAGAATAGTTTCCAGGCATTCTGTGAGACGACCACGTACCGCAGGGTCTTCTGGAGAAGAACAAGCTGTTGGACAACTTCATTTCGCTCAACACCCCAACCCCTACTTCAGGCCTTCCACCCAGCTAATCTCACAGAATAAATTGAGGCAATATTAATACGTTAAACCGTTCACTCTCCCCTAATATACATTTGACAAAAGAAGTCTAAGCTACATTTCTACTTGGGCAAGAAGAAAAACCAAACATTATCTGCACTGTAGTATATTTCAAGGCTTTAATATCATTGATAACATAAAAGAACATGAAACACTCGCAAAATAATTCAAACAGGTATCTTAGAGCAGAGTGTCAAATCAACATGCATTTTACAATCCGGTTGCAACAGCCACTTGAAACAACCTGAAACTCCTGAAGAGTACAAGCTTCAGTATCTGTATCTTAAGATGGCGTACTTGCACTGCAAGTTGCGTTCACATACCACCACAGTGGCTCTCTGAACACGATGCACTGCAGAAGACATGACCATTGTTATGATCTGTGCATTACCTGGAGGTGGATAGCACTGTAACAGCCTCAGAAGTTTCACAGACAACCAAGGAGCTGGAACAAAATAATAAGTATAGTCCTGAAGATCTGTTGATGCAGAGGTTACAATCTGTAAAACAAGCAGATAGCACCCTCAGCTACTGAAGTTTCAAGGGATTTGTGATTAATAAAAACACTCAACAAAAAAAAAAAAAAAAAAAAAAAACGAACACTGTAGGTCACCTTTGATAGAGGCTTATAGAACTATGCCACTGGTAACGTTTAATCATTACCATAATTAGGTTCAAGTAGTTATACCATCAGTACACTGTCGAGTTCTCTAATCAGATGAATTCAAGTTTTATTGATATAGTAGTCTAGGGAGTCTCCTCCCAAAATTGTTCTGTGCTTGTCTTAAGGAGAAGCATGAAGATCTTGTAACATCAAATGTTTAACTAGAAGCCTGGCTTACATTGGTTTAATGATTCATTTTGCCCTCAACTATTGGGATTCTGCCAAAACATTAAGTGTAGCATTATACCTTACTGACCATTGATAGGTGAACAGGGCATCTTTAAATATGATTGACAGATTGAATTTGAAAAGCAGAAGGACCAATTACTCCTCCATTAAGATTCCTACTCCACAGGAAAGAACCATTTGCTTTTACAGAAAAGGTTTATATACATAATGAAATGTGACAAGGATTACGTTAGGCTTCAGGAGAATTACTGCTCTTCACAGATTTCCCCCCACCTCACCTTTGACTACAGATAGAGTAAGCTTTGAGCAAAACTAATTGCAGACTTGTACTATTCCACCTGAGGGTTACTGCTCCATTATGAAATAGCTATTCAGTTCCCTTAGAACTCCCTTGCTTTTAAGGAATAAAAAAAAAAAAAAAAACCTTCACACAAAAGATCAGATCTCGATCTTTTGTCAAAAATATGACAAAAAAACAGTAACACAAGTTTCACAGCATGAAGATGCTAACTTAGGGGGTGGGGTGAGGAAATTTAACATCACATGTTGGAAGAAACGTCCCACTGCTCCTTCCCCCTGCTTAACCTCCTACATCTATTTACAGAATATTAAATGCTTAAGAACATTAGTTTAGCAACAACACAAGAATGAATATTCACAAGAAGATTCATTATCTTGTATGAAGTTCATATAAAATTAAAAACATGGGCCGCATTTTTGGGGGTTCCACGCAGAAGTTTCCAGAATCAATTTTTGATCCAACTGCTCTTCAGTGTTGCAGTAACAGAAAACAACGATTAAAAACCTTAATTACATTGTGAGGGTTCTTGCAGGCGGGAAAGTGCAGGGCTCTGTTCAACTCCATAGACTTAGTGCATAGCAAGGATTACACCAAAAAAGTCTGTGCAAGCTAATATAGCTTTCTGTCACTGTAAGAAACAAATACTAAGACAGACTAACTGAACTACTGCTCTCTCTATAGACAAACACACATATACTGAAATTAAATGATCTTCACTTTTAACAGCATAGTAAATTAATCTGCCCTACAAAGCTCAGTAAATAAGCAACAGTAAGCTAATCTGACCTAGAGAGCTGAGTAAATTAAAACAGTGAAGTATTATCAGGGTTAACATTAGACTTACTCTGCTTAATCTAGACACTGCCAAGGAGACTGAAGTTTTGAACTCTTCTGGGTTCTTCTGTGCCAGAGTAGTAATCAGACTTGTAGCTGCAGTAACCACACCCTAGAAAGAACAAAAAAGCCATAAATTCAGTTTTGTAACAGTTTAAGATGGTCCCAATTAACAGCATCTTCCATTTCAAGGAATTCTAATACACAAGAAAACTAAGTTTATCCCCATGACAAGGCCTCAAATCAGAAAACCCTTCACTTAGCCTACAGCTAGACCAATTGCACATTTTTTAAATCCATGAGCATGTCCTCTGAGCATTAGCAATGTGATACTGTCATGCTTGTAGACAATTTTATACTACCTTTGTATTAGTTGCAGTTCATGTTTGATTAGCCCATCTAAAATAAATTCAGAGATATGTTTAATGATATGCTGACAACCCCACATGACATTGAGGAGAAATTAAAATATATTTTATAAAATAAGATTATTAAAAGTTCTTATAAATTTCTTTAATTATATTTTATATTTTACTTTCCATATATGTTTATAATACTTTATCTACTATATTTCATTATATTTTAATATAGCTCACATTTGATATCACTGAAAATCAAAGAACTCCCATTACTGTTGAAGCGCAGGTCTAAGTAGCCTTATATTTGTAAAGTAGCTGGACAGGGAAAATCAGCTCTCTTATTTAGAGCAATAGGTTATTTTGAACTAGCAGTATAAAAACAGCCACTTGGAGACCACAGGACAGTGAACTCTAAGCACTGGCAAAGCAGGCTTTGCCTTTTCAGTGCAGCTCCACTCTTCAGAGAAGCCTGAAAATAGTTACCATTACAGCTACACGTATGACTTAAAATCACAAGGCGCAAGATTCATGTTATTTACAGTCAGAGCAAAAGACAACAAGCTTATGCATATAGTTCTTACATTGACAAGTCCAATAAAACAGGGCCCTACTAGAAATTAATATACACATTAATTCAGAGAAGGACAACCTTCTTCCATCCCTGTCTCCAAGCCTGAAGAAAATAGAAACCCACTCACTTGCTCAAAAGACTCTGAAGGGAATAAATTCATAATGCATTTAACAATTAGCAAAAGTTACATCAGCCCCTATACAGGGCAGGCCCAGAAACAGAGGTAAACTAGTTTACCAAGTGCTGGTCATTGAGGAGATGCACCACCCTGGACGTCCAGTCTCCCATAGGGACGAGGTCAGGAGAAGTTCTATACAGACGCAGCAAGCATAATGCAGCACTCTGCTTCACACTATCCATAGTATCTCTGCAAGACACAACCACTGTGTTTTCATTTGTATTAAAGTTGCAACAATAATCACAGGGCAGCATTACACTAGTCTTTGCACTGCTGCGATATCCCTAGCAAGGTAGCATCTTTTCAAGCATATGGAAACAGAAGTTAGTTAATGAGATTCTTTTTATGTTAAGAGTGTTTGTTCTTCTTAATTGCCAAGTAGCTTGAAAACTCGACTAGTTAAACCATTACATCTCTTGTATCCTCTGTAACGATTTTTTTCCCATTTTACAACTTAGAGTGACGTTTCACACCTCTTCAGTAGAGCTGAAAGTCATTCATTAGTCAAAAGTTCACTAGGCCTCATGAGTACAAGCTTCTTCCAAAGATACTTGTAAGTCACACAGTTAAGGTGCATTTCAAGTTACGCATGGAAACAAACCTGGAATTCCAGATAGTTAACAATTTAGCTCTGTTACACTGGACCTACTCAACAGCTTCAGAACCTTTAAGCATCCAGGTAAGCTAAGTATCACCTAGCATGCTACCGACGGATCTTTTCACTTTGCCATTCAAGCTGCTGACACTGGAATTGATTATTTTGAGAGCAGCATGCTACAACTGTGGTTCAGTGAACTCCCTTTCACGAAAGAGTCAATTAAATATTTTTATATGTTCTGTCAGGCACAACAGTTAAGAACATACAGACCATTAGTGCTGAAAGTTAAGATCTACTGAGAAAGATGAAGTTCTAGGATGGATTCTCTGCCATTTCATCCACCAGCCCAGACATATGGCGAGCATCAAGGGCTGGCTGCTTACTCTTCTTCTGGCCCACACTAAGTTTCAGCACTGCAAAACACTAATAATGTTCAACCTTGTCATATACAAGGAATTGACTAAGATGAGGCATTATCGTGGCCCTGTTTCAACAGAAGCAAAATTGAAGTGAAACTCGAACAACTCTCCGATATCACACCATATACTTCCCTTTGTCCCCAGCTCAGATAGTGCACATAAAGTCAGAATTAGCGTTGCATAAACGAATGCATTTTCAATATTGGCAGGCTCCAGGGCTTGACGTTTAGAGTATTAATACAGTTCTTACACAACATATTACTTTGTTAAACTAGTGCCAGACATCAGCTTGCTGTAAAACAAAGATCCATACACAATTCAAAACATTTAATATCTACAGCTGTTTAAATATACTTCTTGGAAGCTTTAAGTTTCCAAACAAAATCAAATCACAGGTCTCACTACGTTTATTTAACTACAATTCAAAACATTTTCCCTTGTTCTTGTTAAATCTCTCTAAACAGATGTGGCAAGTTAAACCACAAGTAGTCAGAGTCATCATCTTTTACAGAAATTGCTATTCTTACCCAGACAATTCACATAGCTAGTTGAGGAAGCAAGGATGCTCACTGTATAAAGAATACTTTCACGTGCCTGATGGAGTCATGACCATTTGAACAGCTTCATTTTATAAGCGAGATTTGTAGTTTAAGCTTCTACATTTAGATCCATTTAGCACCAGGAGAGATACGAAAAGCAAAACATACATGTTCCAGAGGTGTCCACTACTACATATTTAAATAGAAAAAAATTTGATTGTTGCATAGAGCTATAAAAGCCTATTCAAGGTACTGACATAAATTCCCATGTTTTATTTATGCACTCATACAAGCAATCCCATGCTCAGGTATGTCAGAGCATCCACAGTTACTGGGGACTGTCACTCTTCTCACTACAAGACATAGGGCTGCATACATCTAAGTACAGATTCAGGTGCTCCTGATGAACTGGGTCACTTCTAATGCTTATTGGGGTTGTATTTGAAGGAGACATGTCATACCTACCCAGCTACAAGTATTTTTGGAATTTCTCCAGCAAATGCTTCCGCCATCTCCCGGCTACCCACATTAGCAATACAATGCAGAGCTAGCCCCATGAAGGTGGGGTTGCGGCTGGCCAGATCATTCTTGATCGCGTTGTTTATTAAGCGAATCAGCTCACTGTTAGAGTTCACTAGTACAGAGATGAAGAGATACCCCTGTGATTTACAGAAAGGAAAAGGAAAATTGATTTTAGCTGACTTAGCTTACGTTTTCCTTTAAGGTCACAAGTAATTCTTTGAGCACATACAATTCTCCTCCAGTACTGGAGGGATGGGCAGAAATAGATACTTAGATACCACAGCAAAGGCTAGAAAGATCAAGTGAAGTAAGTAGAGGTGCATGCAGTTTAGTGTCTCCCCAGTTCATAGTGAAGGAGATGCAAGGCTCAGGGCCTGCAGATCACAATCTGTTTCAGCACATAACCAGTAAGATCACTTCTCATGAATGGGATAGTATTTGAATGCAAAACAAATCAAGATTTGGTTTACTATTCAGACATCATTGGATGACATCTACCTGATAAATATGATCTTCCCTAGGAAAATTTAAGGGGATATTCTAAAAATTTAAAAGGTGCTTGCCTTATTCTGGTTCAAATACTAGGCACCACACAAAACTTGCACTGGAACTCTTGCTTGCATCACAGCTTGTTAGTAGGAGCTAACGCATTTATTCGAATGACTTTTCAAGTTCTACCTGAACACCAGATTCAAGACAGTTTCCTAACAAGTAATTTTTTACGCTGAATACATGTTTTAGCTGTTACAACTAGCATACTTTACTTAGGCACTACAGGATCACAACCTTTTGAGTCACTTATTAAAACAAGAATCCCTCTGCACAAACAGGTGTTTTCAAGCCCCTGCTAGATCCAACACAAGGCTTAAATTTGAGGGAGGGGGAAGTGGTGTCCGTTTTTTTAAAAATACGTATTATACAGCTGAGGCAGAATATTAGACAGTACGCCTTGTCTTTTATGGAGCTGGCTTTACTCACAATTTGCTTTTCTGTATATCTGTTAGAACTGAGCAAGTTTACAGCTTCCATGTGACCAAAGTCAATGTCATGCCCCAGGAGAAAGATGAAAAGTAGCTTGCAGACATATTTTTTCTTACTGTAGCCATCCAGAGCCTTATCACCTAGAAAGCAAGGAAAAAAAGAGTAATTAAGCCTATGTTGTTCCTATATTTCAGGTCCCCCAGTGAGACCTGAGGTCTGCCCCCCCACCCCGCAACGGTAAACAGCTCCACTGAAGTATCATGTCTTAGATACAGTAAGAAGATTTATAATAGTATTTAGTAATGATGAATGACATATGATTCACTATATACAAACCTGCATAAGACATACAAAGTTTGAGAGTTCTGCTATAACTACTAAGGCCATTGTATTTTACATAACATTAGTCTTGGAATTTAGTTAACAGTAGATGAAAGCTTATTGTACTGTTTGATTTTAAAAATCACAAAACTGTGATCCCACGTATGCAAGCATAGCATACAGGCAAATCACCGAGTGTTTCCACGATTTCAATGGAAAGGTGACTTACGAAACTACAATCAATAACTCTACAGTGAATAAATTGTGAAAAATCCACTTAACACTGATGTTAAAGGAAAGGACTAGTACAAAATGATGCAAAGATTTGTAAACACACGAAAGTTACCACAAACTAACAGATTTCTGACAAATCAAGCAACTTGCCACTTGACTTAAAATTATTCCCAGTTGTGAAATAGATAAAAGATAGCTTGTAGCACTTGCTAATGGTTTGAGCCAGGAGGAGATGAGGTACAACTGAAAAAGATGAGTTGTCACTAAATCAACAAAACATTCACGCAATATCAGTTTTATGTTAATTTGAGATTTAAACAAATACTGAAGTCTTAAGTTTCTTTTCTCATACAATATTAGCTCCATTTACTATTGCCATTATTGGTATCCTAAAGGACAGTCATGAAACAAGCCGACCCTTCCATCTAGCCTCTGAATTCTCCTGATGAAACACCCTTAAAGGGTGTTTCTTACTATGAGTCAATACATGTATTTTAGTAAAAAGAGGAAAATAAAGAGTGATCAAAAAGTAGGTATATGTCTTCTGTACACTTGTTCTCCTGTTAAACCAACTGTTCAAGCTTCATCACAGGAAAGGATCCTTCCTAACTACTAATACTAACCCATACAGTAGGAAGACTACACTCACAAAGCTCTTGGGCCTCTAACCTATGGAGCTGGTAAAACACAGGTAAGTTCTACAAGCAATTATCTTTTCCGTTATGACTGAATACTATTTATAGGAGATTAAGTGCTCCACAGTAGAGAACTAGGTAGCAACAAAGTAAAACAAAACAGTAAGCCTTTCTCAGAAAGGCAGAATGATCTAGATACATCCCAAAGCCTAAAAACATAAAAATGAGATTACCAAGTCAGCTGTAGAGTGTTCTTAAGATAGAAGTATTCACAAGCGTTTCAGTTTTAGGAGAAAAATGCACTCACTCTTAGGCTGATGTACAGAGATATTTTTAGAAGTTTGTGAGCACGGTCTTAAAACTATTTTCTTCCCTCTCCAGTTATAATGCAGTATAATAGTTCTCAGCTCATCAGGCAGACCATTCCTTCTCCATAAGGAAAGGAATAAACAGGAATACATGCTTTTTGTGGGACATTTCCCCTACCACCCCATTCAGAAGACAAACAAGCACCAGTAAATCAAAAAGCCTTAATTCTTTGGTTCAGTCAGGGTGGAAAGTTATTGTAGAGGCTGCTGCCTAGAAGGCTATATATACTCCTTGGCTTTTATTTTTGGGGTCCAGAATAACTGATCTGTCAGATTAGTGTGCATTCCTTAGTGATAGGCAAGTTCAGTCAGAACAGCATTGCATAAAATGAAGCTTAAACAGAATATCCCTAAGCCTTTGACTTTACCAAAAAGCCTCCAAGCTATATTTTGTTTTAATTCCAGATATATATTTACCGGCCTACTACATATAATAAAGAACCTTAATAGCACAGGAGTCTCTTCCCCACCCACTGGTGGGGAAGTAGAATAGGCTTCCCCTGACACAAGCACCTATAGCACCTGTTGAGACAGTGCATTTAGTGTGAAGTCTAAACAAGAGAAACCCACCACTATAAGCTAAATGTTTTTGATGGAATGAAGACTAACTTCAGTGCAGCTAGCTGTGTGTTAAGCCCTGTAATGTTAGTGAATCAGGAGAAAGTGTACTGGCACACTGAAGTCGATAAAAATTTATGCTTACAGGCTGCAATTATGTCAGTATTTTAGAAGGTTGCTTTCCTCTTTTGAATCTCTAGACTTCAAGCTGTCATTTTTCTACATGCATGAAAAATAAGGATATTTTAAAAGAAAGACCAAATTTAAGCACATGATTTCAGAGATTTAATATAGACAGTGATACCTTTTGAAAAGCTGAGTCTTTAAACAGTAGTTGATCTTGATAAATACATAAATATATATTATTTTAAAGCAGTATAGACAGCAGTTGTCAAAAAAAAGCAGCTTTGTACAGCATAAAAGTAAGTTTAAGGTAAAGGCAACCTTCAGATCCATACCATGGAAGCCAGGACATGCCAAATACGTCACGTGGATACAGGAAGCAGTGTTGCTAAGGTAATCATGCTAGTAAAAATCCTGCTACACAGGATATGCTGACTACAGCCATCTCCGCATAAAACTGCCTAAAAAGAGTTTGCTTTCCGTTTGCTGACATAAGCCTATTCTGCTGCTGACTCATCAAGAAAAAGAATCCATAGTGTTTGCTTCATTGGATATAAGAATTAACAGTAGGAGAACCTGGCAAGATAATCAGATTTTGGAAGAAATCAATTTTTTCTTCTTTGGAAGCAAAGGGAAAAATATGCAGATATGTTCAGCCATGTCTGTTTATCCACTGTGATCTTCCAACTATGGCTTGAGAAACAAAGGAAGAAAGCCCTCTGCATTTATAATAGAGGAAAGAAGTACTTATGTTATACTCTCTTCCTGGTAAAATGGGATTCAAGAGCAGATGCTTCCCTCCCATCCCATTATGGTAGCCCTACATATTCATGCAGATCAAAGATACCTCCTTAGAGGGAGGGAACGAACAGTTATAACTTTTTCAGAGAACATTTATAACTTTTTCAGTTGTTAGCTTAAGGGATTTTCTGGCTCTTTGTCTCCTTGAGGTCTGAAAGGGAAAAAAGAACCAATGAGAAAAGTGACAGTTAGTGACCCGAAAACAGCTGGCTTGTCACTGATTAAAGGAAATTGAACACCTCTATTGAATTCTATTAAGATTCACAGAAGGGGACACCAAATAAGCTGGATCCAGGTTACTCTAGGTTCCTCTAGCAGCCAAGACCTATGCAGTTGAGGACCTGCTATCATGTTTAGTATCATTAATATCACTGGTTGCTTCTCTCAGAAGAGAGGTAGTAGGCAGATGCATCAAAAGTTGTCAGAAAGCAGCTTTACACCTACCTTAGCTTAAGTGAATAAACAGTCTCCAGCAGTAGTGTTTCCAGGGGATTGAGATTGGCAGTACTTTCAGGCAGCAACATTTCAGTCAGCTGATGCACATAACTTACATGTATAGACTGCCTTCTCTTGTTTTCCTGAATTACTCAGCTACTGACTTCCTGAGATCACAAGGGAACAGCGAGTATAGAATAATGCAACCCAATTGCTTAATGAAGAACATGAGCAGATGAAACTATATATGCTCTGAACTGCACTGACTTTCACAAGAAAGTATGTGTCATAGTTTGGCAATTCCTTTTTTCAAAGTCACGACCTAGATATTTAAGGCTTTATACCCTTACAAGATACCAGTATTGTAAGGGTTCAGATTAGCAAGGCCCTTAAGCATCTGAAGCATCTTTGATAGTACGGCATAGTTTCTATCAAGCTGAAAGCACATTGCCAGTTCTTTATACATGGGACAGAGGCTTCTGAAAGCAGATGCTTTGAAGTATTTTCTCCTATCCTAAGGAAAGAATGTTTCAGGTACTGATTTTACAATATTGTTCTTTGCTAGATCATGATGGAGAAGAAATAAGCTGCTTTTTCCTGGTTAATAGGAGGGCAAACTGAAGGTTCTCGTTAACAGGCAAGCTTATTGACTAAGCCAATAAAGCTTTAAAGAGAACTAGTGGCTGTTTAGTTCTCAGTGATGATAGCATGTACACACATTCTCTTACCCTGTTTTGTACATCATTTATTTAGCTGTATAATTTCAAAAGACAGCTTTACAGTAACAAAGGTCTCACTGTACATGTCTAATTCCAATTATGTTCTGAAGAAGCCTTAGTTTCAGTTTGTTAGGGAAGTTTCAAGTTTAACTAATCAACTCCACTCCCTTCCAAGTAGCATTTATAGTAACATTTGAAACAGAACCTCTTAAAAAGTCTCATCACTTAAGTATGTGCTTTCAAAAAAAAAAAAAAAGCATCTGATAACGTGAACAGGAGATTTTTGCTTATTTTATGCTGTCTGGATGGCATACACAATTACTTTTCTTTTAACTCAGCTCGTTTTCAAATGCTTTTGTGAACATTTTCAAACACTGCACATCAAGTCAGCAAAAACAGGAAAGATCCAGAGAACGTGTCAGCAGCTTTTAAAGCACAACAAGCACATTGAAGACTATTTCCTTTCCCTGGAAAGTCTGCCTGTCTTTTTTAGAGGGGTGGGGGAGGACAAAGATACTACTAGCAGCTGAAGACCAAATGGTACTATTATAAATTAGAACAGAGATACTACTTCCACATTTCTGTGGATCTCATCTACCACTTTCATAAAGAGATTTTCATTTTGATTTATTAGAGCTCTGTAAACACTGCAGGACTTCACATTAGACACTCTCCTTCGGGTAGCCTTCCAAAAAGGAAGGAAGGCATAAAGCACTAACATTATCGAACTTTTCAGTTCCCAAGCAGTACCTTCTATCTCCCATTTGGTCCACGAGTTAAAAAGCATCACTTGCTTTTTAATCTGAGTACTCTTAAAACCCTACCCTGTTAGCACAGCCTGCTACCAACCAGATCGTGCAGGACGTTCATGGAGAAGAGGGGTTGGCAGGGGCAGGAGGGAGCCTGATGAGTCTAGCAATCAGCTATGCGGATGCCAGGGAGGCTA